TATTTAGTGGGCATGTGTGTGTCAGTGAGCTTGTATTTAGTGAGCTTGTGTGTGACAGTGAATTTGTATTTAGTGAGCATGTGTGTGTCAGTGAGCTTGTCTGAAGTAAGCTTGTGTGTGTCACTGAGCTTGTCTGTTTCTTAACTAATGTATGTTCTATTGTATAGACCAGATGTTTTGGACTACACCTTCCATGATGCTTTGCCAGAATTATTGGTGTAAAAGCATTATGGGGGATGTAGTCCACAACATCTGGAGTGCCGAAGGTTGCCTATCCCTGGTATAGACACAACTCTCTGACTGAAGCACATATGCAGGTCTTTCTATATTTGTTCTTGTACTGACAGTGTCACCACTGATACTCAACTAACATAAAAGTGATAAAAATGTACCTGCCTGATATGGATGCTGTGCTGAGAATGTATTTATCGCACACCATGGATGCATGGTACTGTTGGTGGGAACTTGTTGTTATAAAGCTGTACTCAATAAAGAGAGAATTGCAGGGAATTGAGATGGAAATTTCAAACTTTAGGTCGAAATAGTGCAGCTGAATGGGAGAATTTTTTCAACTCAGCTACTTTGGCCTTAAGTTTAAAATTACCATCACAATTCCCTGTAATTCGCTCTTTATTGAGTAGACCGTGTAATCTGCACTATGATAAGTAGGTGGAGAATAATTATGTGGGTTGGCCAGAGTGGGCAGAGCTTTGTGGCAGAGGGTGTGGTAAAATTTCAAGGTAGTAATTGATAGTTGTGCTGCAAAGTGTCCCTGGAATGTGTTATCAAATGTTGGCAACTATGCATACTCAATCAATCCCTGCTGTATTGTAAAGAGGACATCCAGGGCTTTCCAGTGATATGGCATGTGATAGGCTTGGATGCAGGGAACTTCCTCTTCCTTTTCATCAAAAATGGATGGCATAGCAACAAGCTAATTTTTCCTCGGTTCCAATGAGAATATACATGCGGCACTAGCAATGCATGCACTTTAGATATGACAAAACTCCTCTACGAGCAGCATTGGATTAGAACGACTCTGGAGCAGGCAATGCCTTCTCAATGACGCTGCAGGAATAGGAGCGGTAAGCAGCACCGAGGGAGCCTTGGCACTGGATAAAGGTAATCAATTTTTAAACCTATTTATGTTAAACAGCAATGGGGACCACCAGACCTGGGAACGGAAACACTAAAGCTTTAGGAAAACACATTTGCTTTCCTAATGCTTTAGTATTCCTTTAAGGTTTCATGATTGTGAGTTCCCTATTGATATTATTTCCCCACTAAGTGAGAAGTATTTATACTTGTTGTGAGAGTTAAGCCCCAAAGCCCTTTTTAATGATATGGTATTAAAAATCAAGTTTTAGCCTCTTTTCTGGTTACTTTCTTCACTTTTGTTGTTGGTTTTTATCACTTTAAGGGCCTAATATATTCTAGTTCAAGAATCCTTATATACTTTCAAACAGTCCTGGTTCAAAGAAATTTGTTTCAGAGAACACATTTTATTTTATATATTAACATATAGCATTTAAACCATATTTTCATAAGCCTTGATATAACATCTTTTTGCTGATGACACAAATAAAGTCTAAGGATAATATAGAACCATATTATTGTCTTATGGGTATGCAAATCAACACAGAGATAAGTGACTAATTGATTGGGGGGAAAAAAACTCCCCACAAATGACAATGACTGGTCCTGACCTAGACCAGATAAATTCATAGAGTATTGCTTTTTATTGTATATAATTCCTTTCGTTATATCAGTTTTACAAATGTAATCATCACTGTGAACCTGGGACTCATGAAGGACCAGAATACTTATATTATGGTCCTTTAATTGCTCCCAAACCACCATGATTTAACACAAAGAAAACATATCACCAACATGCCAACTCGGCAGTGCAATAAATGGAGAAACCTGAAAGGTGTACCTATTCTTGAAGAGTGGCTTGCATGCATGCATAGGTTATCTAGAATTTGGATGTGACAAAAGAATGTTCAATTAAGAGTAACACTGAATTGTAGAAATCACTTCGTACATCTTGTTTCAGTAGATGCTCCTAGGTATGATAATGCATTCAATGCTCTGAAGTCTGTAAAGCATTTTTTCTCCAATTTGTGCTGATTCCCAGCTGAAAACTAACCAATAATTATTTTTTCTCTAGCAATCAGCTGTACTCTGAGTGGATTCGTATCAATGTGTATGTGAGTTTAAAGCCTATACTGCCATGTAATTCCACAGCCATATGTAGTTTGTGAATGAAAAATATGAATGGATCTACTTAGAAAACTAACATCTTTTTTCATTAATATTAATTACTTTAATTTGCTGAACACAACATTCAATAAATCTCAACTGGGTTGGTGGCAATCAAGGGCAAATACCAACACTTCATTGGCCTCAACGGAGATTACGGTGTATTAATATGGAAGAAGCGGGTTCCCTGTTTCATGTTGGTTCTCTCAGCAGAATCTGGAGCTGATGTGCAGTCATATTTATCAAATATTTGGTCAAATGTTGCCAACTAATCTTTTTATAAATTAACACTTCCACATACAAGCATGCCCCTTTAAACTGTGAACTAAAAAAAGCCAGAATATTTATTAGGCTGTAGTCTAGGTAGGTCATCGGAAAGGGGTTTGTGAAACCTGGTCTAGGCTTGGCTTTTAAGGGTTCTCCTAGAAGATAAATAGATATCCTTGCTTTGCCCTGTACCCCTTCACTTTGCCGAGCAAGCCTTGTGGTATCTACATCTGTCAGGTGCAGATCACTTTAAGAGATTCATAGTGGTCTTCCGGTGCTCTGAGTCATTACCTGAACACCTTGAGGGAGCTGCTAGAATGGCCTGCACCCGAAATTGGTCCAGTTCACCTTCCACCAGGGAATAATAAGCAGAAGGTGGACAAAACACACACAATGATACACTACACACAACACTCAGTCACACTCAAACTTACACAAACACAACACTAACCCAGCATATATAGAAACACTCAGCCTCCCCAAACAAACAGCTCTATGCAGGGCTGGTGCAAGGACTTTTGCCGTCCTAGGCAAAAGTAAAGTTTGCCGCCCCCACCCCCCCCCCTATGTGACATCACAAAGCCCCACCCATATGATCTGCCATGTTAACTAATGCCAGTGCTGCAGTGTTGCCGTGTTTACATTAAAAGGCCTGCAGGGACAGGCTATAGACATCAGAACCACTACATTAAGCTTCAGTGGTTCTGGGGACTATAGTGTTTCTTTAATGTGAGGTAAATTAGAGATTAGTGCCACGAATAATATACTAGATTGCCTACTTACAACCAGATGAGGATGATGATGGGCTCTAGCTGCAGTCTGGCTCCACTGGTCTGGTGTAGAACAGGCTCTTTGGAGGCGGATTGTAACTGTGGTCACAAAAATCAATGTTCTGGGAGAACGGGAAGCAGCTCCATTTTTTGGGGCCCTTTACACAGCTCAAGGTCTGGGTACCAGGGGCCACCTTCATGTTCCACCAATGAGTTTGTTCACAGGGGGTGGAGTGTGTAGGAGATGTCCTGATATGTGTGTAAGGAATGCATTTTGTGAATCTGTGTTTGTATGTGTAAGGTCTGCAAGGTGTGTTTCTGTGTATGTATGGGATGCAGTATGTGCGTCTGTAAGGGATGCATTGAGTGAAGGGGTGCATTGAGTGTGTGTAAGGAATGCATTGTGTGTTTCTGTCTGTGTAAGGAATGCATTGTGTGTAAGGGTTGCATTGCTTGTGTGTGTAATGCATTGTGTGTTTTTCTGTGTGCAAGGGGTGCATTGTCTTTGTGTGTAAGGGGTGCATTGTGTGTGATTGTGTGTGTGTGATGGATGTCAATCTCTCCCACCTCTCTTGTCCCTCTCTTCTCCCCCCCTCCCTCCCTTGTCCCTCTCTTCTCCCCCCTCCCTTGTCCCTCTCTTCTCCCCCCTCCCTTGTCCCTCTCTTCTCCCCCCGTTGTCACTCTTTTCTCCCCTCCCCACTCTCATTCTCCCTCCCTCCCCATCAATATCTTTCTCCCCCCTCCCTGTCAATTTCTTTCTCCCCCTCTGTCAATTTCTTTCTGCCCCTCCCTGTCAATTTATTTCTCCCCCTGTCAATTTATTTTCCTCCCAATTTATTTCCCCTGTCAATTTATTCCCCCTCAATTTATTTCCCTTTCTCAATTTATTCCCTCAATTTCTTTCTCCCCCTCACTTATTCCCCCTCACTTTTCTCCCCCTCACTTGCCCCTCAATTTCTCCCCCTCAATTTATTCCCCCCTCAATTTCTTTCCCCCGCCAATTTATTTCTCCCCAGCCCCTGTTTCTCTGAAGGCGTGGCCGAGCTCTGTATGGTCCGCGGGTACAGAGAGCTTTTGTTTCCTGTACCCGGCTGGACTAAAAGGAAGTGCACTTCCTGTTAGTCCGGCCGGGTACAGGAGACAGATGCTCCCTGTACCCGCGGACTATACAGGGCTCGGCCACGCTACAACAGAGGGAGTGACAGAATGGAGCGCTGAGCGCTTCCCTCCTGTCAGCCCCTCTCCTCATGTTGCTCCCGGGCGGTGCGTCCTCATGGACGCACCAGCCCGGGCAAAGCTGCAGCCGCCTGAGGCTCTCTACAGAGCGCTCGGGCGGCTGCAGCATGAGGGGGGCCGGTGCTCCCTCTAACAGCTAGCGCCGGCCCTGGCTGCCTAGTCTGCCTAACAGCTGGCGCCGGCCCTGGCTCTATGCTTCATCCACACTACACACACAAAACATTCATCATTCCTCCTTCTCCTCTCCTATACACACACTCCACTCACAGAAACAGAATCCAGAGATATAGGAGGGGTCAATATGGCACCCTGCCCTGGACAGCCTTAATCTGGCTCTGGCTCTGGCTCTGGCACTGCAGGATATTTTCATCTAAGACCCAAAGTCATTTATGACTGAAGTATAACAGAGTATAACTCTCACCCAAATAACTCATGACCATTTGCTAAATAAAGAAGCAGTGTCCATTTTTTTGACATGCCTTCAATTTATTTATGATCTCTTCGCCTTATTCAACAATTGCTGGTAAGATACTCAGGGCACAGTTTATAATTTGGGACCATCTACCACTTGTTACTGTTGACCTTTTCTTTCATATTGTCATCATTATAACACACTTTGGCTGTTGTCAAGTTCTGCCTAGTCTTATAGCCCCTGAAGCTGGATTGGATTTTGACAGCTGCGTTATGATGGCGCTTTAATGTTTGCCTTACTTGGAAACCCCTCCAGTGTGATTGGATTGCTGTGGCTGCACATAATTGTCGAGTCTTGAATATCATCTCATCATTAACAGATTCCGGATAAGATCTCATAATTTCCTCCTTCACAGGTATACTTTGGCTCAATGTATTATGCTTATAGATATTGTTTGCACAGGTACAATCATGGTGAGGCTCATGGTCTGAATGTTTTGTGAAATGAATACATGTTCCACAGTTGCTTTGTTTTTCTTTTGCACAACTCTTACATCCACAGTATACGCAAACATGGCACCTTGGGCAAAAAAGATGTCTTTGCTTTTTAGATATGACCTTAACCTTCTCTCTGAGTATTTCTGGAGAAATGTCAAAACCACACAAGCACTCATTTTCTAGATTGTCTGTTTTTAGATCAAATAGTAAAATGGGTACTTTATATCCAGGTCTGTGAACATTTTGGTCATCAAGAAATAATTTCATTTTGTAGTATTTATCTGTTTCGGTGCCTTCTCTAGAATAAGATGATTCATCAACTGAACACGCATGGACACTCTTAACTCCTGTTGTTTCAAGCACATAATCTTGAGTTTTCTCAGAATGAATGCAAAGTTTGGTATTGTGTATTTGGGAATTAGACAACACAGATGATGGGAATTTATTAATGCCACACCCCCCATCAGGTGATATGCATCTATTTCCAGAATGGACTATCTGGAAGTGTTTACCGTGTGAGTGGCCAGTTTTAGTAGACTCGCAGGAAACAGCTATCATTGAACACTGAGGGGATATTTCTCTAGAGCTTGAATTGTCACTAGAAGATACAGAATCAAAAGGTGTTTGAGCATGTCTTCTGGTAAAATCCTTGTTTTTGTTGGATTGTTCTAAATGTGATGTTTTTTTAATCTGTAAAGATTGGCGGGTCCTGTAACCTCTATAATGGGATTGAATAACAATGGCAGATTGGTTTAATAGTGTTGTCTCTAAAGTAGTATGTTCATTAGGCATTTTCCTTTTGATAATTTTTCTGGTTTTATAGCCCTTATAGCTAGCTTGTATAATAGTAGCTGCCTGGTTTTGAATGGCTTTGGTTTTCGGTGGAATGTCGGGTTTCCACTTAGTTTTAATGATAAGAGTTGCTTCATATTTCTGGGATCCCCGTCTCCTTGTCCTATAACTACGCCACATTGTCTGGATGACTTTTGCCGCCTCATTTTCTTCATTTTTAAATTCTTCATCACATAAGTAAGTTTCACGATCTACTTTTAAGTTACTGCTGGTGAAGTGGTCTGACTTGTGGGATTCCGTTGTTGTGCAACTATGTATTGTGAAATCTTCTCGAGAAGAACTGCAAATGTTTATAAGAAACAAATGTTTAGCACTTACATAAGTACAAAATATTAATTGTGTCCATATATACACATATTTTTATATTTCAATAAAATATTCATTGTAGTAAGTACAATAGTTTGCATTAGATATGACCCCTTATATTTACGCCAATTCATTAAACTGAAGTTTTGTAAGCTATTATACTAAAAGTGATTTAAGAAATCTCAATTTATGTGGAATTAAAATTAAATAAAAATTTCAGCTTAAAGAGACACTATAGTCACCAATACAAATTTAGCTTAATGAAGCAGTTGCTGTGTATAGATCATGTCCCTGCAGTCTCACTGTTCATTCTTTGACATTCTTTTAGGAGTTAAATTATTTCTTTATGCAGCCATAGGCACACCTCTCTGCAGGTGAGTTACACAGCCTTCCCAAACACTTCCTGTAAAGAGTCATCTAATGTTAACACTTCCCTTATTGCAAATTCTGTTTAATTTAGAATTTCTTATCTCCTGCTCTGTTCGGAGCTTGCTAGATCCTGCAGGGGCCTCATGTATGTTATTAAAGTTCAATTTACAGAGCAGAAGATTAAAAAAAAAACTTTTAAAGTAAGTTACACCTGATTGAAAATGAAACAATTTTGTTTTCATGCAGGCTGTGTGAGTCACAGCCAGGGGAGGTGTGCCCAGGACTGAATAACAGAAACTAAAGTGTTTTATCTCTTAAATGGCGAGAATTGAGCAGTGAAACTTCAGAGTCATGATCTATACCAAAACTGCTTCATTAAGCTAAAGTTGTTTTGGTGACTCTAAAGTCCTTTTAACCCCTTAGTGACCGGACCACTTTTCAATTTTCTTACCGTTAAGGACCAGGGCTGTTTTTAAATTTCTGAGGAGTTTGTGTTTAGCTGTAATTTTCCTCTTACTTAATTACTGTACCCACACATATTATATACCATTTTTCTCGCCATTACTATATCATATAATTTACCATAAAAATCTGTTACGCATCTACAACCGCCAAAAACACCCATGATAAATAGCTTCTAAATTTTGTCCAGAGTTTAGAAATACTCAATGTTAACATGTTCTTAGCTTTTTTTTTTTGTTGCAAGTTATAGGGCAATAAGTACAAGTAGCACTTTGCTATTTCCAAACCATTTTTTTCTTCAAAATTAACGCATTACATTGTAACACTGATATCTGCCAGGAATCCCTGAATAACCCTTCACATGTATATATTTTTTAAAAGAAGACAACATAAGGTATTAAACTTGGGGTATTTTGACTCTTTTCATGCTGTTTTCATACAACCATTTTACCACCAATCTATGCCAAATTTAAAAATATAATAATAATTGGTGATTTTTTGGACACACATGGCAATTTAAGAATACATGTACTGAGAACTTTAAGGGTTACTGCCACTGCCATGTTATGTATTCAGCAACATCTCCTGAGTACAGTGATACCACCCATGTACAGGTGTGTCGGGTTCTCTGGGGGCTAAAAGGCCTTATTTGGAGGGTGCGCATTCCAATTTTCCAACTTGGAATTTTCACAGCTGGTCATCATGCACTCATGTCCTATTTGGGACATTTTTTATGCCGGCCAATGTAATTTACCTCCATCAAACCATATATTTTTGAAAAGTAGACATCCAAGAATTTCAACTGGTGGTATTTTAACACTTTCCATGCACTAACCAGTCTTTGTCAAACTTTTGGGTAATCATTTTTTTGTGTTATTTTTCCTCTCACATTGTACTGTAGGCATGGATTCTCAGTTCCTGTTATGTGTTACTGTCAAAGAACACCCCAATATGTGTTCAGCAACATCTCCTGAGCGCAACAGTACCCCCAATGTACAGGCTTTATGGGTTTTTGCAAACTTACAGTGGTCAAATGTACAGCTTTCCCCTTTTCCATGTTTGCCCATTGAAACAGATTGGTTTGCTGGGCCTATGTAGTTTTAATACATTTTATTTTTATTTTTCACACATAAACTGCCATTTCACCAATGAAATTATCAGTATATTAGAATTTACTGCTCCTAAACAATCATATTTGTGTAGAGTAATGTCTCACGAGTACAACAGTACCCCTCAAGTACAGGTTTTATGGTGATCTAGAAAGTTACATGGTCAAACATAAGATTTGCCAGATAAATTGCCATTTGCCAGATGTTGCCTTTGAGACAGTATTTCAGCCCAGAAATTAAAATTAACCCCACCATGACATACCATTTGAAAAAGTAGATAACTCAGGGTATTCAAAATGGGCTATGTCCAGTCTTTTGTAGTAGCCACTTAGTCACAAATGCTGGCCAAAGTTTGCATTTGTATTTGTTTTTTTGCATTTTTTTTTTACACAAGAAGAGCACTTTTACTGATGATTTTATTGTCGTGATGTGTTTTACTGTTTTAAACACTCATATTTGTGTTCAGTGAAGTCTCCCGAGTATGACAATACCACCCATGTACAGGTTTTATGGTGTTTTGGAAAGTTAGAAGGTCAGTATAGGGCTTTCCCAATTCTGTTGGCCAGTTTGGTTTTCTGGGTCTTTGTTGCCTTTTGAAACCATATGGTAGCCCAGGAATGTGAATTAACCCCATCATGGCATACCATTTTCAAATGTAGACTACCCAGGGTATTCAAAATGTGGTATTTCCAGTCTTTTAGCCACAGTCACAAACGCTGACCAAAGTTAGCGTTTATTAGCTTTTTGCATTTTTTATTTTTTTATTTTTAAAACAGCTCTGTTACTGGTGATATCATCGTTGGGATAAGTTTGTCACGTATCCTTTGTCTCTGTGTGGCAAAAACAGAGATAATTACCTTCCGAAGATCGAGGGGACTACCGTTTGGTGGTCTTCTGCCATAATGCCTGGCTTTTGCGGCATGTTGGTGCATGCCGGCCGCTGCAGACCCATGCAATTATATAGCCCCACAACCGTCCACGGTAAAGACGACGTCGACGTGCGGGTGACATCACGCAAAAGACGCACACGCATGTTTTGGGGTCAAGGGCTTGGTACAGCCAATCGGATCTGCAAAACGGTTATTTAAACTCACTTATTCCTTAGCTCATTGTCCTGTCGTGGTTCCCCTTAGATAGTTATCCGAGAGTGTGTTCCTGATCATGTTTTTCTGGTTTTTGACTTTGGCTTCATTTTGACTTCCCTGATTTCTGGTACCCTTGTATAGTCATATAGTCTAATTACTTAATTATCTGCCATTTAGGAGTTACATCATTTTGTTTGCAGACATAGCCACACCTCCCCTGGCTAAGAGTCACACAGCCCCACTACACTCTTCTTGAAAAAAAGAATACCTGTTTTAGCTTACCTTATTTTTATGTTAAATTTAGAAGTTATTATCTCCTGCTCTATTAATTGGCTACTTGAATCTACAGCACAATCATGTGTGATTAAAGGAACACTCCAAACACATAAAGCACTTTAGCTTGGAAAAGGGTGTCCTCTTTTTCATAATACACAAAGTGCAGATTTCAATAGAAAATGGCACTTCTATTAATTATAAAACTGATGAAAAAGGGTGTAATGTATAACATAAATTAAAATAAGATATGGGCAGCTACATACATCCATAAGCGACTAAGAATGAGTGTGAGCTCATAAGTCAAAACGTTATGTGCTCTCCTAAATATAATGAAATAAAGAAACCTATAAAAAAAAAAAAAATAAAAATATACATTTATTAGTATAAAACTTGTATATATGTGTAAATAAACTAAATCATAAATATAAACATGACCGCACTGATCTAATGCTGGTTGACGGGGAGTAATTCAAAGAAAGGCAAATACAGCCTAACAAATATAGATACAAAAATAGGTAAATAAAACCACCATGGACACAAGGTATAAAACAAAGTATCTGATGGTTCAAATGCCTACAATGTAAATAAGAATAAAAGACAAATATATAAATAAATACAAAAAGTACCTTGCCTCGGTGTGGGCCCCCACCGAGGTATAAATAAAAAATGATGGTAGAAACCTTGAGAGGATATAATCAATAAAATGAGCGGTAAACAATTAGGAATAGCAGACCACCGGCAAACCCAGATAGGATCCGTCAATGGGGAATTAACTGTTGCACCGCGGTCGGCATCTTCTAAAAAGACCACGGTGTAATAGAAGCACACTCCCTGTGAGAACTAATAATGATCCGTCACAGGATGCACACCACAAAAAAAACTAGTACAAATTTGAATAGTTCAGAAAAATAAAAACATAAAAAAGGACAAACAAAAGTGATAAGACTAGAAAACTACACATACAGCAACATAGTTAGCAAATAGCCTACCAGAGCTTGGCTTTTCCTTGAGAAAGGCACTTGTTTGGGTTTTTTCTTTGGTGACATGTGTCAGATATTATAGTGACAGAATGGATGAGATATGATGGGATTAAGAGACTGGCTGTATGAATGCGACTGACTTGCAGTATGTGATTAGATGGGTGATTCACGAAACCAGGAATTAATGGAGAAACAGAAAAATGGAGGTCATAATAGCCGGCTGAAAAAAAATACCTTTTTTTAAAATTATGATATATTGGTAAATTTCACAATCAAAAGGGGACATGTCTTCAGCTATTTTAATGTGGATGGGTAGGAATATGTGATCGAATAGTTGTATATGACATGATAGGTGTATAGGATTGTGTATTTGGTTAGATAGGTAAATGTGACTGAATCGGGTTATGTAATTAGCACCTTTATTCCAAACGCTTTAGTGTTCCTGTCCATAAGTTTATATGTTTAAATATTTTGCATCTATAGGAGTCAAGGCCTACTCTGCTGACGTCCAGTCTAATGTTCCTCATTGGGAACCCGAAATGCATGTGTGGCAAGCACCCCACTCGTTTAAATTTCCCCATAGGAAAGCATTGAATCAATACTTTCCTTTGGGGGTTGCAGCCACGTGACTGAGTTTTAGGTCACTGCAGGAGGATGCGCCCCTAATAGCTGTCAGGAAGACAG